ATCCTCTCAGTTGTGTCTGACTCTTGGGCCATGTCTCTCCACATCTTCTGATATTGCACTACTTTGTTGAGTTGTTCTATGCTCTGGTTAGTGTCAGCTATGATGGTGTCCAATCACCATGTTCTTTGGTGGCCTGGTTTCTTTTTGATACTAACTCTTCCAAGCATAATTGCTTTCTATAAAATTGTTTAAATTCTGTCTTCTGCTTATGTAGACACTGGCCTACTTCCACAGTATTGTCTATGAAAAGATGCATCAGATTTCCATCCTTTCCAAAAATACATAACTGTTACAGTTACTGTTATCACTTGGCAGCTATTTTTAAAGAGGAACTGCTTAATGAAGTTGCTTCATTAACCATTTTCAGTTACATAAACATAACTTTTAACTTATCGTATACAATGTACAAAACTTCAGCAGTATACCTCCTCTATTACAATGAGAAAACTGTAATAAGCACTGCAGGTAGTTCTTGACCTACAACCGCTTGTTTTAATGACTGTTTGAAGTTATGACAATGCTGGCAAAACCGACTTATACCAGCCCTTTCACTTCCAGTGTCACAGCATTCCCATGATCATGTGATCAAAATTTAGACACTTGGAAACCGGTATGTATTTATGATGATTTCAGGGTCCTGCAATCACATGAACTCCACTGGTGATCACCCAGCCAGATTCCAACAGACAATGGCAATGTGGGAACCTGCTTAATGACTGTGTGGTTCACAGAGTAACCATGGCAAAAAGGGTCATAAAATCAGGAGTAACTCACTTAACAACTGCCTCACTTAGCAGTGGAAGTTCCAGTCCCAAGTTTGGTCCTACATTGACTACTATTAATCTGTAGTTGGGCCACATGATCAGTTCTTTGTCAGGATGTCACACAATAGCTTTTTAATTTTTAATTTTCTTGCTGGCAATAAGATAGCAACTCTTCATTGTGTACTGAAACAGACTGAGACGAAATGCAGAAGCAAAAAAAGAACAATTTGAATCTAAAATGTAATAAGCTTGAAGATTCTGGAAAGTGCTATTAATATGAAAAAAAATAATATGCATTCAATGAGCAAATTATTAAATACTGGGTTCAGGTTATATTGAGACTTGTTCACTTCTTTACAGAAATTGGCATCAGACTTCCTGCATAAAATTCTTACAATAGGATCTACTAAATTTTTGGCTGTTTTTAAATGTGAACTCTAATAAGATATTAATGAAGTTGTCACACTGGCCATGATATTAAAAAATGATTTCGTAATCTACACAATGATTACATACAACGTACAAACATTCACTGATTTCACAATAAACAATTAGCACCATGAGATGAGTAGAAAAAAAATGGCATTTCTTTTTGTTTCTCTTTTGACCTCTCTAAATTAGTTCCATTGGTTAAATTTTTATATTCTCCAAAGCATCTGAGGGTAGGACAAGAATAACAGATGGAGAGAGATTCAACCTAGAATTAAGGAGAAATTTCCTTACACTGAGAACAATTAAGCAGTGGAATGGCTTGCCTCCAGATGTTGTGGGTGCTCCGTCACTGGAGGTTTTTAAGAAGCAATTGGACAACCATTTGTCTGGAATAGTACAGGGTCTCATGCTTGAGCAGGGTGTTGGACTAGAAGACCTCCAACATCCCTTCCAACTCTGTTATTCTGTATTCTCAGAGAGTTATTTGGCAATTACTGGGCATCACAGGCTGTGATTTAAATGCTTTCACTGCTCTTGATGGGCTGTGTGGTGGCTCAGCGGTCAAGATACTGGGCTTGTCAGCTGGAAAGCCCACAGCCCAGTTTGAGATCTGACAGGGTGAGGTTCCATCCTTATCCCAGCTCATGCCAACATAGAATTTAAAAAGCATGCAAATGCAATTAGATAAATGGGTACCACTTCAGTGGGAAAATAAAGTGACACAGGACTATGGAAATGTCTGGTTCAATAACTTGAAATGGGGATGAGCACTGCCCTCTATAGTCACAATGATTAGCAAATAAAATCAGTAGGGACTCTTTTTTTTTAATGCTCTTCATGCTGACTTTGCCAACTTCTCATTTTATGCTAGTTTGTTTTTTTACCACAGTTAATGCCCACATTTTTCCTATGCAATCTTTATTTTAGAGTGATATAGAGATCCATAAATGGCAGCTTGCTATTCCTTGAATGTTTGAGGCAGCATTTTGTTGAAGTGTTCTTATACCATAATTGATTCATTATGACCAGACCAGTTTTTTAATTTTGAATGATCTTTCTGATTCTTTGTTTGTACAGAGTATTTAAGGGTTATTGTGAAGTTCTCCTAGAGCAATAGTTGTTTTTTCCTGAAATCTTCTTTAAGTTTTATTTTCTCATATCTTACCTTGATATATATTCTAGCCTCATGACTTTAATAATTCTAACCATGATTCTTTCTAAATTGTTTGAGTAATAGTTTTGGTATTGGTTGATGTAGTTTGGCTTTTTGCAAACACCAGTGATGGGATGCTATTGCTGTGATTTGATGATTTTTTTTAACTCTGGGATATCTCATATTGATTTCATATCTACTTTAAGGATTGTTGATGGAAGCATATGAAAGTAATGAAGGTTGAAAATTTTCCAGATCTTTAAGGTGAGATGTTTAAAATATTGAGCTTGTGGAGCATTTACCAAGTCACTTAACTAGCTAGGGCATTTGCAGAAATTTTGCATTGATCAACCTACTTATATTTATCAATTAGTGTTCATTTCAAGATATCTTTTATATGATCATATCCCATATCCAAAGTTTTCTTGGGGAGAAGATCATGTTGTACCATATTTTGCTGGGAACTAATTTCCTGGGTGCAAGAAAGGAATCAGAGAATCAGTGTGGCCAAGTCTTGAGGTAGGAAATTCAAATTTAAAGGCATTAAACAACCCCATACATTAAATGTTTAGGTTTGGGCAGACTTGTCTCCAGGCAGAGTGCTGGAGATGTACAGCATTTTCCTTTTAGACTCTTCTTAGATGTGGATTGGATAATCTCAAGCAGAGATAGGCTGCTTGTTTCAGCCATCTGGGTTGCATGAAAAAATCAAATTCCCATTTGAATTAATATCCATCCAAAGATATTTAAACAGGCCTATTTGCTCAATTTCTGTCTAACAATTTAGTTCAGAAATTGGGGTGAGAACATCATCAATTTTATACAGTTGAAATTTAATTGTAAATGTTGATCCCAAAAGAACTTTTTGTATATATGTTACTGAAATATTCATTAAACACATTCAAATAAGATTAACAAAATCACTATGCTCATTCATTCTATAATTTATATATTAAAATTTGAGGAAAAGAGGTATGATAGACCCACAGTTATGAAATATAAAATATAGAAAGCAAAATCTCAATTACTTGGCTTTTTTCAGAGTAATTACTGTCATCATAATGATGAATTATGGTAAGTCACCATGAACAATGCAGTTAAAATTTATATCTGTAAAACATTTATAACTCTAGTTTTTTATCTATCTATCTGTTTGTCTGTCTGTCTGTCTATCTATCAAATATATTTGCTATCCATTTCATGGTTCAAGGCAACTCTGAGTGACTTATAACAAGATAAAAAACACAAACATCGGACACTTAAAAATAAAAGAGATAAAAAGTACAAAAATGAAAACAAGCTAAACACAATTGGTTGGAGGGGGAGGTACTTGTTACTGCACCAACCACCTCCAGTCAACAGTTTTTCCTTCAGGACCCTATGCCAGATTTTAAGACTTTTCCTAAGGCTACAACATAGGGGAGGGATGTTCTAAAGGGTGACAACTATGGCAGAAAAGAATCTACTTCTGGGTCCCCCATTTGAAATTCCTTTGCTGATGGAATTCCCTATCCTATTGGGGATAGGCGGTTCCACAGATATCATATCAATTATTTTCTTTCATCATAATATATAATGAATTCATAAGAAGCCCAACTGAAGCAACAGCTATTGGTTGCATTATAGTAAATGTTCTTATTTGAACATTTGAATTAATCATTTTATGTATCTAGCTAAAAAGTAGATTTGGTATAAATTACCCAAAGTAGGATCCTACCTGGTTAAACCAACTGTGCCAGGTTATAACATCTTCCTTTATGGTGAATATTTGTTCTGAAAAAAAAAACTGCAGGGTTTACCCTCCCAACTTTAACCCTAATGAATTATTTGTTAGAAGAAACAATCCAGTTCAGTATATCATATCCAGCTAGTAATTCTCCATTGTAGTCAATAGAAACCAGATCCCCAGCACTGTTATTAAATGAGAGACCTCTTAAAAAGTACAACTAGATGAAAAAGAAAAGATGAAAGATTAGAAAGTGGGGTTTAATTTTTGAGCAGGAGGAATCTAAGAAGAATTTAGTGCAGAGGAAGTCATGAATAGAATAGAATAGAATAGAATAGAATAGAATAGAATAGAATAGAATAGAATAGAATAGAATAGAATAGAATAGAATAGAATATTTGGCCAAGAGTGATTAGACACACAAGAAATTTGTCTCTGGTGAAGAAGGTCTCAGTGTACAGAGTAATAATAATCATAATAATGATACCAATAAGAGAAGGTAGTAGAAAATAATAATAATAATAATAATAATAATAATAATAATAATAATAATAATAATAATAATAATAATAATAATAATAATAATAGTGCCATATCATGTAGGTAAATATATTTAGACATGACAATGGGAATTAGATATTCAGCAGTGTGATGGCATGAGGGGAAAAAAATGTCTCTGTATCTAGTTGTTTTGGTATGCAATGCCCTGAAAAGGAATATTGAGGGGAGGAGTTGAAACAGTTTATGTCCAGGATTTAAGGGATTACTCAATCAAGATGTGATGTGACTTAGCAAAACAGAGAACCTTATCTCCTTTCCAGAGATGGGAAAGGAGATAAAAATGAATTCCTTTGATTGATGTTACAAGGTTCCTTTCCCTTTATACAAATAATGTTTTTCTTCAAGATGATGATCAGTCCATTACCTGCCATGAATCTTGATTTTGAAGCTTCAGCCTCCCTTTATTTGCCACTGACCTCTGGGCAGATATGGATGAAATCATGGCATGCAATCCACGGGCTACTGCATGGACAGAATTATAAACACTGTAGCTGTGACCAGTCATTCTGCTTTCAAAAAAGGTTACAGGAAGATCTTCTAGTTTCTCTTCTCCCGTGCAAACATCACCAACTACATTTGAAGTTTTAAATGCACAAACAAAGGATTGCTGCCAAAAATCCTTGATAAATCCATCTTCCGTCATGGAAGGATTTCTACTTTTAGTAAATGATTGGAATCCTGGTGGGTCATTGGCATGAATTGTGAAAGACAGAGCACCATTCATCATGTCATTATCCCAATCTCTCTGATATACATGTGAGTTGAGCTCCACTTGTGCTGTAAATATCCACACTTTACCTGTGACAATATCTGTTATGCTTTTTCTTGATAAATATGCTAGCCATATCAGCCTTGCCATACTATCAGATTCTCCATAACATATCAGAACATTAGTACTGCTATCCATAATTTTATCATGTATTTCTGCAGCATGCTTGGCCAAGTTATAAATTTCATTAACAGATGTTAATTCAGCAACTCTCTCTGTAAATGAAAAACAGATATTGTGCTGGGATAATAATGGAACAATCATCTCTATAACCCTATCTCCATTATCATTGGCCATCACCAGAACTCCAATCCATGTCCATCTGAAATGGAGAAGCAGAGACAAAATCCCTTCATTTTGAAGTCTTTCCAGTGGGCTCATCTGGAGGAAAAAGAGGCCTGGTACTTTATGATTCATGATGGGATTAGAGCCATAGATGAGCTGCATAATGATTGAGAGCGAAGGAAAGAGATGGAGAGAGACTCACATTTAATTGCTATTTTCAAGATTTTTAAAAACATATCATACATTCATACAGCAATACAAGAAACGCTTATGTGAATGAGCAAAAGATAGCATTGATGAAGTAAGGATGAAAGGACAAAAAAGAGAGATAAAGCAAGGTCCACTGCTAGAGAGATAGGAGGACTCCAAACAAGTATTCTCCTTTTTAGGAAAGAAGAGAAGAAAAGGCCTGAAATGTGGCACAATTCAGAGAAAATTATGATTGCCTCTTTGGAGAGATTATTATTATTTTTTTTTCAATATAAAATTTTATTGTTTTTATCATAAAAAAAAAAGAAATACATCACAAATATTACACAATGTTATATCCCATCCCCCCACCCCCCGGACTTCCCAAACCAACCTAGGCTAATATTCAAATACAAGTAAACAAATATTAATATCTCTAACTCCAAAGTCTAAACTTAAACAATCCATCTCATCCGTATTAATAAAAATTATTCATTTAATTAGTTCTTCAAATATCCAAAATCTTTACCATTTCAGCAAGATAGTTTAACACCATCCCTTACTTATACAAAAAAAAGAAAAGAAAAAA